CTAATTATAGGACCTATCGTAAGAATTTAGCAGCCTAGAGTGAAGGCTGTAACCCCAAAATGTTAGCGCGTGATAGCGGCGAGAGCCGACAGGTTACAGGACGGATTCGCTCCGTCAAGGACTGGGTTCTGTTCTGAGTAAGGAGCGTCAGAAGCGTAGGCTTCTGGTATCTCTCTCACTGGGGTATCGTTGGTTTGATCTCCAATCCCAGGCTTCCTCCCGAGTATAAATGCTTAGGAGGCCGTAACAACTTCTATTGTACGACGTCTCTTCAGATCTACATTGGTTGCTCGAACCGATGAGTCTGTAGGTATCTCAAGTGCGTGTCATTCCTTGGTAAGGAAGCACGTCTGAACTCTAAGATATTCGTAGACTGTTCGTAGCTCAGTCTTATCAAGTCGTGCCTTAATCACGCAGCGATTAAGTTCTGTAACGCTCTAACGCGCTACAACAAGGTCACACAACCCTGGGAGCCTTAGAGATGGCAGTGGAAGCCAGAGGCTGCATCCTGGCGAGTGGGTGCCGGAGCTGCGATGAGCCAGCTGCAGCCATGCAGCCGGCTGAGCAGCCAGCTCCACCATCACAGCCGCTGCAGGGCACTTGGTCGGGGTGCCTGGTGGAGGTTTTAGGCATCATGCATTCACGGTGCAGTTGCTTGGGGGCTGTAAGAGCCTGGCTCAGGACTTAAGTTATTTCTGAGTAGGGACTCCATTCCTTCTTATCATTCCATCATTGAGGCGAATATCGTACACACAGTACATACAACTATCCAAGTCATCTTTTCAGTTATAGCCGTACTAAGCAGTACATTGCTATGGCTATGGCTATATCGATCCGTACACATACTCGATTCCGTACACGATCTGCCCGTTTGCGGCCAGACCGGTATCGTAACTCTTCTCTGGAAGGTGCGACTCTCTTCGCAGGAATATCTACTATTGTACGGCATCTTATCTCGAGCGCCTCAGACGGACTGCAAGCGACTATAAAACCCCAAGGGAAACCCCCGGTGTTTATCAACACCTTCATAAGTGGTCTAGTCGCTAAATCCGTCTAAGTAACCAGGCTCTCACAGGGGCTAGTCAGCAAAAGATATTGCCTTCCACAAGCACACCATGCACGCTGAGAGCAAACAACAGAGTCGCATGCACATTCCTTGAGGCCAACATTGCAAGCCATTTCAGCGGCCAGCTACTACATTTGGTATCCAGACCTCGTGAAAGTTCACGATCCTGAAAAAGTCGGTTCAACCCCCACCAATCACGCTTGGTGGAATATCGGGTTTGGTGACTAAATGCATGATTACCGCGAGAAATGAATTGACCGAATGGAATGTCTCTGTGCCTGAAAAACCTTAAGATGGCTAGGTGAATGTGAGTGCGACTCATGACATGACTCATGACATGACATGGGCTGGTCACCCACTGCCCGAGGGTAGGCGAAGGTAGGCACAGGCTGGTATATGTGGCTGTAAGGGCCCGAGACGGATCCCTTCAAAAGGGGGGAAATGTAGTAGCTGGTACACAGTACAGCACACATAACCTCTACAAATACGCGCTAAGCACGACCGCCAGCATCTCGAGAGGCCTTTTCAGCGGAAAGCTACTACAGGCCCATCGATCGGTGAATACATGCATCTTTGTGTTTGTGTCATGAATGTATATTTCCGAGCGACTTCGGGACTATTCTGTTGCACTCTTACATGTGGAATCATCAGCAACGCCTGCGGGCACCATGCAAATCGTGTCCATCCCGGGTGCATGCTGCATCGACAGTACAGCAGACCACGAACGGAGCCGCCATTTTTGTTGATATGTGCCGCCGGACGCTGGTGTGGCCTTTAGGGAGGGAGTGAGGGATCGAATCCTGCAGTGATGCTGCATCATTTCAATTGCAAGCAGTGAGGATGTCACTGGTGAGAGTGTCACCAGTCCTACTGATGGACAGCCAGAGCTAAGCTTCCCAAATCCCATGTCGGGGTGATACAGCTCTCTTAACCTCTAATGTGGTTGCGGGGTGAAGGCATGTCGGTGATCCCTAGTCGCATCACCGGTCGTCTGCCGTGGCACAGGCAGCCGCACATGGCGCATGTGTGTGTTACATGGTTGGGGGTGTGTGACCCCTTCCTGTAAAACTACCCATACGAGCCGAAGGCCCAAGGGCAATATCTATACACCTAAAAGCCACGGAGAACAGGAAACACCGCACGTCAGCCCAGACTAGCACCCAAAGGGGATAATTGAGTTGTGGTGAGCCCACATACGTTCCAACATCCTCGCCAGACATACTGGTTCCCATTTCATGGCCTCCAACATGCTCTGTTGATGATGAATACCTCTTCCGCACGAATATCATTATAGGCTGGGCATTCCACTAACACGTGTTTTTCATCCTCCATCTGGCTATTAGTACCACAACAGCTGCAACACCGCTGCTCCCTGGGCACATGGTACTTGGCCCTATAGCACATGTGAAAGCCATACCGCTCAGCAGCAGCAGCAGCAGCAGCAGTTGGCTGGGAAGGCGGTGTGGGTGTTGGCGGCTGCACCTTTTTGTTCTGTGCTCCTGTCTCCCTTAACCGTATTCTCATGGCTATGTCGACTCGAACATGCTGGCTGACAGTGCGAGGAATGATAGAGGCGGAAAACCGGGAGACAGGCTGCCAAGGGCCCTTACACTGCAGTAGAACACAACTCAAGCCAACCGAATGGCCGCGCGAAAGCGGCCCCTACGGCCACCGCACCGGTACCGCGCGGCCAACAACACACACACCCCCAGGGAAAAAACGCGCGCGCGCGACAGACAACACGAGACGCTAGGCCAAAGGACGCCCAACGACCACCACTACCAAACACAAAAACGGCGACCCTAACGTGCTAAAGCCCGACCCGGAGACCGACTGAACCGAAGCGAAGAGCGCCCTCTCCACGGACTCCCAAGACCACTCATCAAGGCTAAAACGACCCAACTGCAGCCAGAACGGCTCAAGTCTCTGCTGTCGGCCCGCCTGCTGACAAGCCACTCCTCAGCGGGCATCGTCTACCTGTCCGCCGCTAGCCGAGCCCGGTGCGGAGGTGCCTGAAACTGGTCAGTGAAGAAGGAAAAAAAAAAAAAAAAAAAGAGGGGAGGGGTGAACGAAGAGATATCGACCCCGAAGCGAAGGGGGAAGGTGGGCGGGAAGCTGTCAGCTACAAGCTGAAGCTCTACTGAGTGAAAGGCAGAATGCCTGAAACGAAAGAGCTGAAGCAATTAGTACTCGCCATTCCAATACGGTTGTACGACAGTCGCACAGAACCAGACTTAGAGACTCCGATCGCTTCGCTCCGTCGTATCTAAGTCAACAAATACCAGCAATGGTGGTGACAGGAAAGGAAGGTAGTAGAGCTAGTTGATAGGATGTGCAAGGATGAACTACAGCTAACTAATGATTTTCGTGTCGTGACTTGCTGTGTGCTAGTCATTGCAGTGAAAAGTGAGAGACCCTTGTTTTATTCCCCACCCGAACCCCCGAACCCCTGAACTCCCTCAAGCCCCTGAACCCCCGACTTTTGACATGGTTTGCTCAAACCCAGCAGATCCATCAGGTATGGGGCAGAGTCACCTGCGGGAAACGGTCAGTGTAGTAGCTGGCCGCTGAAAAGGTCTCTCGAGATGCTGGCAGTCGCGCGTAGGACATATTTGTAGAGGTTATATGTGCCGTGCTGTGTACCAGCTACTACAGTCAGCAAGATTACCTTTTTTGGTGCTGTCCTAATAACACTATGATCGTGCAGAGGGCATTGGCTGTTGTGGATGTTTTGCTACTTGGATGCTGGCTTGTCTGGCTGACGTCCAACGGAAAGCAAACATGCGGCTTCATGCATTCAGATGGACTGGAGTCGGCTGGAGAGACTACCGTATTTTTGGATGTATCTTGCAGGAATACGAAACGGACCTGGAAAAAGCAAGGGATTAGCTTCATTTAAGGGCACGTTGTGTTCTTTTGGGTCCCTTCTGATGGGGAGGAAGGAGGGAGGGTTGGCATTAATGAGAGTATGGGGATGGTCCGGCAAGCGTCAGGGGCGCAGCGCACGGTAGCTTCCCGAGCATGATGTGGAGTTCGCGCCTAGAGGATATGCCTTTATAAAAACGCAGACGAAATTCGGCGTGAGCAACAGGGAAGCACTGCTCACGCAGCAGGGCCGCTGCTCAAAACTATTAATCAGATGCCGTAACCCGTTGTAACCGGAAGAGTTTACGCCACAAATCGCCACCTCTGCGCACAGCTCTTAAAAAGGTTGGTAACTGACAAGACACAAGAAACACATGTGATGCTCCTGTGAAAACCACGTGTTTACAACGCCGGCAAATTGCGCGGAAGAGACACTCGTAACACCGTCCCGTTTTGGAGGCACGCTTGAGCTGGAATACAACTATAAAACCCTGAATATAACCAACTACAAATAGCATCTCAATGAAAAGTCCTTAAGGCTGTTCCTGCTTGTGCTAGGCCATGTGCTGGCCATGGTGGCAGGGCATTGTTGAAACCAATGATCTTCACTTCAGTCAGGCGTGCCTAAGCTTTAGGGGATTATAAATGGCCGCTTCAGGATTACTTAATTGTGGGATAACTTGAAGGCAGCCAAATTTCCAATCCTTACGGCAATGGGCGTAAAGACTTGTGCTCCAGTTTGAATTACTAAATTAAATCATAATTCGCCAGCATCATACTGTAATTCAACTAACCAGGTAGGCAGTAATGGAAGGAGCACAACCTATTGGCTACCGTACCAATTCGTACTAACGCATGATTGTGACACCCTGCGCTTATCGTAACGCTACCTCTAGCGAAGCATGATTGAAGCTGCGCACGTAACCTAAATCGTAACCAATGCCTTATGATGCCCTTGTTAATTGTCGCCACCGGGGGCACGATTATCCTTGGCCTAAGACTTGTTTCCCGGTTTCTTAGGCACAGAAATGCGAGCTCTCAACAGGTATGCATGTGTTGGTCAGCTGAAATGATTGGAAATGTGTTACAGGACCTTAAGTCGCGGCGCTTGGTTTTCAGGACGACTTGTTTTTCCCTGACGATGAGCTTGAGGATTGTGCTGGGAGTCATCAAGGTGAGCTCCAACTCATATCGACGCTGTTGATTCAAGCGTGTGGTGGTGTGAGGTTCTTCAGGCAAGCCCCCAGCGGCAGGCATGTAATGTTGCAGTACTATTTTGATTATTGGTGTTCAGTCTATTTATCTTATCTTCACACAGGTGACGCGAATGTACCTTCTGCTGGCGCTGCCCGAATAGGGCATTTCCTTGCAAGGTGACGTTCTTCAGTAAAATGGAAAGCACTAATGAATTATAACGAAGTTCTGACTCAACTGATGTCTGATTATTACTGCAGTGGTGTTGATGTTCGTCAGCCAGAGCAACATCGTCCGCGCGGGAGTGCAGGGCAGGAGCGCACCAAATCGCGGTGCTTGCTAAATGAAAACAAATTCCAGGTTTGCTACCGTTATGTTATGCGTGAAGCTCCTACTCGCCTATCAACTACCAGACAGGAAGGTCGCTCTTCCACTGTCAGCTCAACGGGTTCCGCTTGCCTCATCATGTTCGCTGGGCATCGCTTAGTAATTCAAGGCTTGAAAGCAGATAATAATTTATTCCATGCACCAGAATATGCTGATATGTCGCCTAGATGCAGCCGCTTTACCAACTTGCATAAACCTGCCTGCTCGTACAGGCCTTCCCAGTGCACCATGACGCCAGCGCGCCCACACCACCCGAAGACTCATGGCCATATCAATCCAAGGACTGGATCATTCCAGGTGAGCTGCGGCTGAGCACTGCATCCACTCCCCCTGCCTGACCACCCTTCCACTACTTGCGATGCCTAGGGGGTTCAGGCTTTTCTTCCCTGATAACCAAGACCGACTCCTCAGTCTGTACATGTTGCATCTCCGTCGTACCTTTCACCTCCCCCTCTTGCGTCTGTGCTTTTCCCCGTCGATTTCCCATTCTCCGGCCTGCCTGTTTGCCTGTCTGTCTGTTTGCCTGTCTGTCACTCTGTGGCAGCGGACCTGGACTCAGTCAGCAGCGGCGAGGCACGCCGACGTGCGGCCAGTGTACGGAAGGTCCGCGACTGGGACGATGCCGGCGGAGGACCTCAGGGCTGGGTCCCCCCTCCCGAGCGTGAGTCGGTGCTGGGGCCGGCTGGATAGCTGCCGGTAGCTGCCTCGTGCCACATAGTGAACGTACCAGACCCGTAAATACCATGATAGTTGCAGCATGTGCCATCAGCGTACTCTTCACTAGCCCCCAACTTAACGAACGGTTAAGGCAGATCGACTTATTATATACTGGAAAATGGGAGTTGAGAAATGGAGTTGAGGAATGCGGAATGTGGCATCTTGCGCATCTGTCGCGGTTGTGGTTCTGGTGGTTGGTGCCCCGGCGGTTAGGACGGAACCGCGACTCGTTTGTCTCGTTACCCATCCCCCCTACTCCGACTGTTGTGTGCGGCCAGCAAATGACCGGCGTAATGTACGGACAGCCGTACATGTGTCCCATTATTCAATTTGGCTACCCACCGGTCGGCGCCACGTGCAGGTGGCGGCAGCGGCAGTAGCAGTAGCAGCAGCGGCGGCGGCCGCAGCCGCGGCGAACCGCAGAGCGCCGGCAGCAGGGGCAGCAGTGCTCCGCCAACAGCTCTGACGTCAGGACGCCACCTGGCTGTCGAGTCCGAATCCAGACCTGGTTGCGGCGACGGCTCCGCCGCCGCCGACGATGGTGCATCAGGGCTCCGAGTGGGGGGAAGCAGCATGGCGGCCAACTGCAGTCACGGTAGCGGTACGGACGCCTCGGTGCCGTACAGGAGTTGCGGTACGGGCACAGGCACGCTGACGTCATCTTCCAGTCCTGACACGTCCCAGTCGGCGGATCTTCCGGAGCTCCGCTGCGACACGGACTCGGAGAAACTACAGCAGCAGCAGCAGCAACAACGACAACATCAATCCCAGCAACAGGAAAAGAAGGACAAGGAAAAATTAGAATGCCAGCAGCAGCAACAACAACGTGAAGGAGAAAAGCGAGGAAAGGAAGCGCGAGGAGGTGGGGGAAGTGGGAAGTCTCAGTATTCACAGGTTGCCGGAGATATCCTGACGGAGGTCTTGGCATCCAGCAAGGCAGAGCAGGCGACGACTGTGGCGGCGGCGGCGGCGAGGGCGGGTCCCGTCGTGGTCGCGGCGGCGGCAGCGGCGGTAGCGGAGCGGTTTGGGGCTCATTCTGACCCCGGCGAGCTACCGCCAGCGTTGCGGCCCTCTTCCCCGCCCTATGTGCCTCCTCCGCCGCCGCCGCTGCCCCCCACAATCGTGGTGACGAGGGCTCCCGACGTGGAGAGCCTTCTGGCTATCCAACGCCAGGTGTGTGGGAGGGACATGTGCAAGGAAAAATCAGAAATGAACTGTCGGAAGGCGTCGAAAGTCCGAAACTGCCCCCAGTGAGTCCTAGGCGAGGAAGTCATGGACCCGTGGTGCCGGAAGTACAGCCCATTACGTTGCCGACATTTTTTTATGTAGTCGTCGTCAGGTCTCGTGGCAGGATCGACGTTGAGGTCCTTGACATATGGGTAGGGTTGGCACGGGTACTATACTAGAAAAGAGTACTATACTATAATAGTACTATGCTTTACTATGCAGGGCTCTAAACTGGTACTAGTTTACGACGCTCGTACCGCGTTCGTACATAGTAAAATAGTATAGTAAAAATAGTACTAGATAGTACTAGATTTGGGTTTGGATAGTGTCCAGTACTAGTTGGACCAAGTCGAGATCTGCAGTCAAGCTGTATTTTGAAGGGCTATAGCCGCGTCTTCGAGCTGTGCTACGTAGTTATTGATGAATAATGTCAAAGGAATCCAGTATAAAGAATGACAAGGCGATCAGAGGCTTGCATCCTGGTCCAGACGCCTGGGACTGGGCATTCCCAAAGCGTTCGATGAGTGGTCTGAGCTTATGCGCATGCACAAGGAGAAATTGTTGCCTGACGGCAGCACCCGTGCGATGGGTGAAGGAGGGGAGGGGATGCGGCTGATATAGGGCGGTCTAAAAGGGGCTGGAGGGGTTGTGGGGATTGTGATATATGGCCCCACATGATGATGAGAAGTTACGACATGCGGAGGCCGGGAGAACCTCCCATTGTCACAACATTGTGCGCGCGTTTGATCTATTTTAATAATCTGGGCGGCGTCTGTGTATGTCTATGTATGTTTGTAGGTGGATGCGCTGCGGCTGCAGCACCTCCAGCGGCAGGCTCAGGCGCTGCTGGCGGTGCCGGCCGCGAGCAGAGGGACGCCCCTGAGGGGTAGCACTAGCAGCGGATGTGCCGTACCCGCCGCCACCGCCGCCGCCGGGGGAGTCCGCAGCCAGAGCCCGACGTCAGCGCCATTTCCCAACTCGGTTCGGTTGAGAAGTGGCGGCAGTGGCGCCGCCGCTGAAGCTGCTGCCAGTCCTTCTATCTCTGGGGCGACGCCCACATCGCCAACTTGCAGCCTGGGCGTTAGTAGCGGCAGAGGCGGTGGCGGGTGGGACGTAAGTAACTCACGGGTCGGTCCGGGCGATGGGCCGCTCGGAGACCATACGGCTGGGCTGTCGCCTCCGCTACAGCAGCAGGTCGATCAGCTGCGGCAGGACGTGGCTCGGAGGCAACAACAACATCAACAACAGAGCCATGATCAGCCGCTGCCGCCGCCGCAGCCTCAGCAGCACCAGTTGATCGGCTCAGGTCGGGATGCTTCTCCACTGACGCAGCCATTAACAGCTAGTGCAATGAGTAACGGAATGACTGGTAACACACCTTTCGCTGCTCTCGAAGCGGCATGGCTGCCGATCTCAGCGTCCAGTGGCGGCGGCGGCGGCGGCCATGTCGGACGCCAGGCAGCCGCCGCCGCCGCCGCCACTGGACTGGACCAGACCAGCGCATTCCTCACCGTGCAGAAGCTACTGTTGAAACCTCCGCCGGTGAGCAGGGGGGGGCTGGGGTGAGGGGGATAGCGGGCATCCCGAGGGTGGTTCGGTACGGTACAGGGGGCGTGTCCGGGGGTTGGGATTAGGGATTTAGGGGGTTGGGATTAGGGGTTTAGTGTTTCGGAGCGCCGGGTAGGACATGGCATACTGGTATGCAAGTTTTAGGCATTTGGGTTTCCTCACCGCAACGCAGGCAGCACAGAGCCTTATGGTTGGGAGAGCTCGCCATGGTTTGAAAGCGCACTCCCTCTCTTAAGTTCCTGTACGACAATGAAACAGTGATGAACCCATGGCCTCCCCTCCCTCTCCCACGGCGTCGTGCAGGGCCCAACTGGAGCCGCGTTTGCCGGACCTGTTGAGGCCGGTGGTGGAGGTGGTGGAGGTGGAGGTGGAGACGGCGGCCAATGGCCACTGGAAGCAATTCAGGCGGCTCGCATGAGCACATTGCAGCGAGCATCACGGAAATCGCAGGAGCGACAGCAGCAGCAGCAGCAGCCACAGTCGCGTTGGTCTTCACACCAAATAGAACCACAATCGACGATGATCGCGGTTGCGGAGGCCACCATTCAACAGCAGCAACAAGAACAACAACAGTTAATACTGCAGGAACGGCAAAAGCAGCAACAACTCCTGGAGTGGCAGCGCCTTACGGGGCCGCAGCAGCCTGCTACAAAGCCGCCGGTAGCACTGACCCACGGGTCGCTCGCCCATGTGACCATGGAAAGAAAATCCCAGCCAATGGCAAATCCAATGCTAGGTGGCAACAGCAGCGGCAGCGGGATGCCCTTGGGTGAGTCTGACGGCTCCTCCGCCTTCTGGACCGCTAAGCCTGGGGAGAGGTCGGCAGCCGCTGCAGCCCTGCTGCAGGTGTCCTCGTCACCCGCCTGTCTGCCGACGTGGCCGCAACCACACCACCAAAATCGAAGCCAACAACACGGACAATGGGACCTACAGCTGCAGTGGCAACATCAATACCAGCAGATGCAGCAACAACGGCAGCAGCAGCAGCAGCAACCGCAGCAGCAACAGCAGCACCACCAACAGCAGCAGCAGCAACAGCAGCAGCAGCAGCAGCAACAGCAACAGCAACAACAACAGCAGCACCACCAACAGCAGCAGCAACAGCAGCACCACCAACAGCAGCAGCAACAGCAGCAGCACCACCAACAGCAGCAACACCAACAGCAACAACACCAACAGCAGCAACAGCAGCAACAGAGCCCACAGATACAACGACATGGCCTAGAGCTTCAGAACCCCGCACCAACCGCCGTCGGCAGCGGCGCCGGGGGGGCCAGCAGCAGCAACCTTACCACGCCTACAGACATGCTGCTTTACTCGCCGCCCTCCTTTCGTCACCAACTTGTACCATTCAAAGACGACCAACCGTCCGACAGCGCCAAGAGGACGCAGGCTTGGCTGAACAGCACGCCGACGCGATTGGCAACGGCACATGGGTTGACGCCGTCAGCGTCGTACGGCGATCATGACGACGCCGTCGCGTCGCCGGTTTTGCGGCCGCATGTGCCGATGCCGGCACCTAGTCCGGGCTCGCCACGGGGCTTGATGTCCATGTCCCAGCCCCTGCCGCATCAACTGCAGCATCAATTGACGCCACAGCTACACCACAGTGAGAGCACGCCGACGCGACGGCTGCCATCACAGTCGGCGCCGCCGTTGCGGCGCTCCGACACGATCCGCTCGCGGAATAGCGCCGGCGGCGCTTCATCCCACGGATCGCGTCGTACGTCGGCGCGGGGCGGCGGCGGTTCCTCGTCACGTCGGCGCGAGTCGTCATCGGCGACGCGGCGGCGGGAGCTGCAGGCAATCCAGGAGCGGCTGGCCAACCAGCCGCCGCCGTCGGCGTTGGGGCTGCTGAGCGCCCAGCTGTTGCTTAACGCCGGGGAGAAGGTGAGAGCGCCCGAGGCAGCCGAGTGCCGAACTGCTAAATCCAATACACCACAGGCGTTAGGGCTTTCCGGGAGCATCGTCTAACGGTTGAACAACTGTCTGCTGCACATGTGCTCTTCTTCATGTGCACGAATTAGGCGTTTCCATACGCATGGATGCATGGTTTCATGGATGCAGGCACCTGTGTGGGCAGGGTAAGGGTGTTATTGACAATAGAAAAGCAGCTTGATCGTGTTTTTTTGCTTTTTTGTGGCTCTCCGACCTCCCTCTGGGAGGGGGCTACACTCGTCCCAAGCTTTGGTTGCGTCTTTTTTCCACGTCTCTCCATATGACTCGCCATTATGCACCGACTCAATGCAGCCAACTTGGGGACCCTCATGTTCATGCCGTCGCCCTTTCCTAACACCCCCCAAACCAACCAACTAACCAACCAACAAACCGACAAGCCGCTCCTTCCCCCCACGCCGCGCTGCCCTCCTCCCCGCGCGACAGCTGGTTCCAGCACCCAGGACCAGCACTGGCAGGGCGTTCTTCGTGCCCCTCAAGGTGAGCAGCCCCCCCCTCCGGGGTCTGTGTTGGGTCCGTCAGGGGGTTCGATCTGCTGGGTGGGAAGCCACAGAGAGGACATGATGATGATGACGATGATGGTAATGGCGATGAAGAAGGGGGGAGGAATATCCCCCGAGGTGGAGTTGAGGCAGATGCCTGAGTGCCCAGTAAGACAAGAAGCAGGAAAGAGCGGTGTGAAGGGCCAAGCATTGTGAGATGGTGTGAAGGGCCAAGATGACGACCAACAAGCCCTGCTCCGTCCCGATCTGGTCTATGGGTTGGGGTTAGGTGGTAGTGGGTGCTGGAAGGGAGGTGGGGTGGGATGTGATGGAAGCGGCGGGACGGAATGGGATCCTGGGGCCAGCTGGCCGTGGATTCCCGCTCACCCGCTCACCCCCTGTCGAGTCATTGCGTTTTGCAACCGCCCGTTGGTTTTCAGCCTACCCCCACCCCTACCCCTACCCAATCCCCCCATTCCCGGAGAGCAGCACGACGTGCGTCTTGAAATGTCGGAGAAAACCAAGGGCTCCGCGGCCACGTGCGGCATCGGCGGTGGTGGCGGCACCAGCACCAGTACCACCACCACGCAGATGGTGATGATGAGCAGCGTCATGGCGCCGTACAGCACCGGCTTCAGCACCGGCTTTGACAGCCTCATACCCAACAGTAACAGCAACAGCTTCGTCTCCACAGCGGGGTTACAGCGACACGGGGCCGCCGCTGCCGGCCCCGCGGTGGCAGTGAATGTCCTCGGCCCCCAAAAGCACCATCAACAGCACCATCAACAGCAGCAGGTGTACATGCTACCGGCAACAAAGAGTGTCCCATTGAACACGCGACGGCAGTGGTAGATGTTTTGCAGCAACACCAGCAATACCCCCAGTATCCCCACTACCCCCCTGCTGCTGCCGCTGTGGCTTACGCGACACAGGCGGGGGGTGGGGTTAGCACCCCCCCGCTGCTGCTGATGGGACGGGATCGGCGATGGCCGCTGGGCTAGCAGAGCACGCAGTCCTTCGAGCATGGCGACTGGTCCCCCACTTAGGCCGGTTGGTCCGGTCTAATTGGTTTTATGCTACGTCAATTTGAAATTGCTCGTTCAGTACGCGCGTTCGTGCGCGCCACATTTTTTACAGGCAATCTCTACGGCCGCAATCATGGTTATGTACGACTACGGGCCCAACCTTGGTGATGTCATAACCACAGCTGCTGCGACCTGTGGTGTCTTCTTGATCACCGCGAAGAGGGAGATGAAAAGGGAGAGGAGAGGGGGACGGCAACACCGGAACATCGTCTGGTTTTGTCGGCCGCGTGTGTGTGCGCGTGTATGTGCATTTGTGTACTTATCAGCCACCGAGGCTTTCCTTGTTGTTGTTGTTGTTGCTGTTTGTTTTCGTGTTCTAGTGGAAAGCTCTGGAGTAGTGGTGACATTAGTAAGTGTCGGGCGAGATCGCGAATCACTGGAGGGAGGGAGGAAAGGACCGGGAGGGAGGGAGTGGCTGTGCTGGTGCACACAATTAGAAAGCTAACTGTGCGGGAGGGAGAAGGCCATGAAGGGCCATGCGGCAGGAGAACGGAGTGCCAAGTATGTGGACGTATAGGAGGGGGGTTGGCGAGGGGGGAGCGGCTAAAGCGGTCTGCAGGGGAGGGGACGGGAGGGGAGGGGAGGGGAGCGGAAGGGGAGCGGAGGGGCGCGGGGCGATGGAGGGCGGACAGGGAAAGAGGACCGAGGGCCACAGTCAAGGAGGTGGTCGGAGGGCCCAAGCAAGATGCACACCCAGCGTTGTGGTTCAATCCCTCTGTGTTGCTACTGCTGCTGGGGGTGGGAATGGAGGTGGAGGTGGTGTTGCTGCCAGCGCTATGCCTGCGGGAAGTGGGCGGAGTTGTGGCGTTGGGGCTGTAATTCATTCTCTCTGTAGGATGCGCAGGGCGACAGGGTGGATGGTTTACGATGACTGTCTGAATGTTTGTATGTCAGTGGCTATGCAGGTGCGGTGGCGATGGGGTTGGGGTTGGCAGCTCCAGCGACTAGGCTGGCTGCCAATCTCGAGGACTCCTCGTCCGCCCGCCCTTGTGCCGTACGGTCCCATTCATTCTTCCCAGCTTTACCTTCAGGAGGCTCCCATTGATCAGAGCATGCATGACCAGCATGCATCTAGGGAAGGGGGGACCCAGAATCGGCGTGCGATTATTAATATAGCGCTGAGCTATGAGATGATGATGAAAGCGGCTTCTTTATATATGATAGGCACATGCGTCCGTGCGTGCGTGCATGTGTATGTGTGCCTGCACTCCTCTTTCCGAGCTGGTTTGCGCTGACTGCCTGGCAGTCGAGCCAGGAGTGATCAGATGCGGACATGGGCGGGACCGGGGTGCGCTGCAGTGCGGTGTGCACGTGGTGGTGGTGGAGATGTCTTCATTATGGGGCTTTCATCCACTCCCGCACCTGCGAAGAAGTTAAAGCTCAAAATGATGAAATAACAAACCACATAATACTAAAAATAATAACAGCTGCATGCGGTGCTGGTGGTGGCGGCGTGGTGGTGGTAGTGACGCGTACGGACAGTTGCACCACGAGTGACAGCCGGTCGCCCTTTTACGTTGGTAACGACGATGTATGTATATATGTATGTCGATAATGCCAAAGTTTGGCAGTACCGTAGTGTGCTGCGGCGTGGCTTGTTTGTAGATGCGAGGGGAGGAGGACACACACCGTTAGGGGCTTCTCCCTGCATGTGACTGACTGACAGCACAACACCTCGCGAATGTTGATTCATCCGGATGACCGCACCCGCATGGCGCTGACAGGTAGCTGACCTCACCGGGCTCAAAGAGAACTGAAGAACAGAAGGATGGATGGGGGGCTTAGGAAAGGGCGCAGGATTCACTAGGCGCCAGCGCGACTAGCGTCCGTCGACTACGACGCCAGTGCGTCATCACCAGTAGTGGTCATCGCCACTATTGCTGTTATCAGCTGCTGCGGCTGCGGCTGCTGTCCCTGCTGCTATCGTCTGCCGCGCGGTCTCGCTCCGTGCCAATGTGCGCACATCAACAGGTTTTCATCAATCACGAGACTTGCGATGACCGGAAAGAGTCATCCGTCGGCCATTGGCGTTTTAAGGGTTTTGGGTTGCTGAGCTCCTCCTCTGACGGCGCCGAATCTGTGTGTCTGTCTGTGTCTGTGTCTGTGTGTTTTTGGAACCTTGGTGTCCGTGTTGGAAGGGAAGACGATGATGGTGGTTCACTCACCACAAGTGTGTGCGGGAGTCCATGTGGCAGGGAGCATCGCATAACGAGTGTATTGCACGTGCGCGGGTATGTATGTATGTATGTATGTATGTGTCCATGTTATAATATCTAACCGAGCCGCGAGAAGAGGAAGGAACAGCCAAACTGCTGCACGCATAGTAAGTACTGACCCGTTGGGAGTCCCACAGGGCCGGCTCATAGCCGCTATCAGTATTATTGGAAACGCAGATGAGGGGTCCCTGAAGCGCAAGGTCCGTCGCCTGGAGTGTATGTTTGCGTGTATGTACGCCTGTGGTAAAAAGTGTGTGGTAAAAAGTGTGTGGTAAAAAAGTATGTACGTGTAATGGGAGAGGGCTCTCTCTGTGTATGTATCGATAGATCGATACGCGCTATTTACAGGACTGTGGTGGTGCGAAAGATTTTGTGGCGAGGAGGGAAGGGAGGAGCAAAAGCAGGACTTAAATCTGTATGTATGTTTGCACCCAACAAAGCTGGGCACACTGCGCGAGGGAGGTAGGGAGAGGAAGGGAGAAGGATGTGCGACGCCTGTGGCATGACCGGTGTCGCGCGCTGCGTCATGTGTTGGCCGTGTGCATGTGCGCGTGCGTGCGTATGGCTGTGGTTGCTTTGGGGTTGTGGTGGACGGGCACTTTTACTGGCACATCATCCATTCTGTGCATGTATACAGACAGACAGACAGACACACAAACAGACAGACAGACACACGCTCTGGGCCCTATTTGCCCCGTGTAGTGGCCATGTTCGCCAGACTTAAGACACGCTCGCGACTTCACTCCCCGAATCACCGGTCAGCAAACATACTTGCTTACGTACAGACATCCGTACAAATATCACTCAAACCTTCCTTGTATCTCGTCGTGCACTGCCATTCGCACTGATCAAGGTGTTGTACTTCGTACATATTTTGTTTACCGCGTTCGGGTTTGCTTGGCTTTGTGTTGAGGTTTGTTGGGTTGGGTTGGGTTACATAAAATACGCCTAGGGGGTTACATTGGGCTGCGTCCCGCAATTGTTGTCACGCACTTGCGAACTGCTACGTTGAGGGATTCGGCTTCCTGATGCGGCCCGTGTGTGGTAGAGTTACAAGTTACAAGTTCCGCACGCAAGTGCTGGGGTGTCCGTAAAGGCCGGGGGTGCCATGGACGAGGTGGAGTTGGTTAAGGTTCACCTGACCCAGTGTGCGTGTTTTATCTGTGTCGGGAGTCGACGAGCTGCGGGAGGCTGGCTGGCTGGTGTACCTTGCCTTCTGACGACTTGCGCAACTCTCTCTCTCTCTCACACACACACACACACACTCGCACTCACTCGCACTCTCACTCGCACCGTCTTTAACAAGTCCGCCCTATTCGGGAGCAGGGTGATGTGCACAGGGGCTTCGAGCAGATCCCAGGTGTGCTGGTTGCGGGGGAGGAAACTGCAGCGCGTGTGGGGACAGGAGGAGGCCGCTAAAGGGGGCTGTAGCCTTAGGTGGGTGGGTAGGTAGGTACAGCATTTGGCGACTAATATCTTAGGATAGACACAGCAGTGCTGAACTTCGGATATTTCCCTTCTCTTATGCAGCTCACCTCTTTCATATCGCTGTTGAAAACGCACGTTTTGTTTGCAACTCAATAATGAGGGGGAGGCACGAACTCAACGTCAGAAACCTAGGACATAGGTATTCGGCATCTGGGTGTTGCGGGCGACTTAGGGTTTATTCGGCGGCAGGGCGGTGGGGTATTGGAGGGTCTGCAGGACGGGAACGGTTAACTACCTGCCGGGCGAGACGCGATAGTGATTACTGCGTGTGCGACGATATGACAGACACGCAGGACCGCCAAGGTCTCTCCACGGGTGGACCGGTGTGGCTTTGTAGAGAACTGATAGAGAATTGAGCCCTAAACGTATGTTTGTGTGTACGTGTGTGTATGAGTATGTCGTACTTACCCCGCTATGGTGTGAATGACCGAATGCCACTGTGCGTCGGCAGGGCATCAAGCTCCGGGATGGGAAGGGGAGAGACGGTGTGTGTTTAAGCAGCCCCTCGCACAAATGTGTCCGGTCGTACTCTGCCGAATAAACGGGCCGTACTTCGTCCCAAAAGCCAGGAGCGAATTTCACCGCGCGGATGCGCGCGTGCGATTCGCAAAATGCGCCTGTACAAGTGTATGTAATTTTTCTTGGCGAAAAAGGACGAGGTGCGCCAGCGTCGCGCTGTTGGCCACAGCCGCACGCGGCATGCAGGCCGGAAATGTGGGTGGCTCCTGTGCCGCAATTAAAAGAACTGAAATCATACAACGTAGCTTGCAAGGCTTGGCTCAGACACGGCCGCGGGAAGAGGAAGCGTTGAGCGAAGCGACACTTTTGTGCAAGCAAACGGTCGCGCCTTTGGGAGCGCAACGTATACAGGACCTTGTTCAGAGTCAAGTCAAAATATAATTTTGCGCAAGATTACATACCAAAACACAATTAAACTTAAAAACAGAAAAGGGCTTCAGAGTTTAGTCGGCGACATGGACGGTGCTGATGGCATGGAACAGCTTTTTGCTGCGCATACGGCCGTGCCTGCGATAGCCGTGTTGCAGCAGCTCCGGATGGACTTGAGCCAGCACCAGGCTCAAGAACTGCTGCACACCCACCGGGAAATTCTGCAGTTGTACACGTGCAGTTCTGGTCGGCGTGGTCGATCATCCTACGCAGTGTGCACGGAAGCCGAGGTGCAGCGACTCTGCTACTTCGCCAACATATCTGGTACGCATTGGCAGGGTTGCCGAGAATGAAATGAATTGGGTCGCATTTCAGCGGTCCACTAAGCATGCATGTGCGCCAGCAGATCAAGACGCGGCGCACTTCTGGTCGACGGGTGTCGGTCTGCGTTTACGTGGTAAGGCAAGATGAAGAGGTGTCATAGGTCGAGGCAGTGGCGCAGGACCTGTTGCTTGGTATAGCTCACATTAGTCCGCCTTTTTTCAGGAAGTAAGTAACCGTAAAAATTGATGCCATTTCCTATCTTGGCGACTGCGAATTGTGCGATCATGAGTGTATATCAACCGCCAAGCCTGTTCATATATAGCTACAACGCCTGCTGAATCGTCCGCTGCATATTACCCTATTTGACAGGTCTGCATGGTGCAACAGTCGTTCGTGCAGCCCATCCTGTTGATGACTCAGTGTGCGATACCGGTACAGCCGACACGTCATCCATGCTCATCGATTCACAACCAACCAAATGCGCGTGCACAAGTGTATATAAATTTTCTTGGCGAAGAAAGGCCGCGGTGCGTCAGCGCGGTGCGCACGAGGGCATGCTGGCCACAGTCGCACGCGGCATGCAGCCCGGACAGTGGGGTGCCTGCTTTGCCGTAACTGAAAGCACAGAAAGCAAACAACGTAGCTTGCAAGACTGGGCGCTTGAAACGGCCGCGGGAAGAGGAAGCGTTTGGCGAAGCGGCAGTTTGCGCAAGCAAACGGGCGCGGATTCGGTAGCGCAACGCATACAGCCCCTTGTTCAGCGTAAAGTCAAATTACAAACTTGCGCAAAAAAATATAACATACACAACTTAAACAACAGAACAGATAAGTCGTTCGGAACCGTGCAAGTAACATGGACGCCGTTGTTGGCATGGAACAGCTTTTTGCTGCGCATACTGCCGTGCCTGCCTTAGACGTGTTGCAGCATCTCCGAAAGGACATCAGCCAGCAGCAAGCTCAAGCGCTGCTGAACATCCACCGGGAATATCTACAGCTGAGCAGGTGTAGTTTTGGTCGGCGGGGTCGACCATCTTACGCATTGCGCACGGAAGCCGAGCTGCAGCGTCTATGCAATATCGCCAACATATCCGGTACACGAGTGCAGGCTTCCGAACACGAAAGACCGGGGGTCGCATCTCAAGAATCAACCAAGCATGCTTGTGCCCTTGCAGATGAAGACGCGGCATGCTTCTGGGCAACGGCAACGTGGTAAGGTGAGAACCAAGGGGCGGCATACTTGTGGTTATGGCGGTGGTATATCGAAGGACCGCTCATCAGGTACCTGCCCACATTAGTCCGCCTCTATTCAGTAACCAAGAAATGTAACATGATGCCATTTCCTATCCTGGTGACCATGGAAAGTGGGATGACGAGGTGCATTTCAACCGCCAACCGTGTCCATATACAGCTATAATGGTTGTGTAACTGTCTGCTGCATAATACCCCATCCGACAGGTCCGCATGGTGCCGCAGAAGTGAGGGGGGGTTTCCCCCAACTTTCCCCCCCCCCTGCATACACATGATGGCTGCGGATACCGAAACAGCCAACACGTCATCCATGCTAATCGATTTACAACCAACCTGCGTTCGTGTTGGGAATGCAGAGCCATCCTGCAGCACCGGTAAGCGTGTGCCAATGTGGGCATGTGATCCGTGGAGTGTCACGGGCTATGCTGCAGTTCACGGAAATACGGTTAGGGCTGTTCTGAAGGCACTGCTCACAGCTACATCCAAGTCTACACGCATCATCTTGAGAACGGGGCACACTGCTGATGTTTGCTATGCAGGGCAACTCCCGGTGCCACTATATGCTCGCAGCGACATTAGCAGCTGTGCTGTCGTGCCGCTCGATGCCCACAATGCCCACACAACGTGTTTGGACTGTGTGTGTCATGCTCTCATTGCCGCGGGTGCCACTGATGTGCCCGCGCCTGAAATTCTGCTGGCGACCGTGGTGGGCACCATTGCCGAGTCTTGGGATTCGATGTGCTTTCAAGTGCTACATGCCCATGCCAGCAGCCTATGGAGAAGCCCTACAGCAGCACCGGCTGCTGCCGGGCGATGTGGAGCTGGCAGTTCTTGCCCATGCTCTCAACATTGCGCTTACAGTGTTTGACCCGGATGGGCTGCAGATCTGCTATTGGGGCACCAGCACAGCGCCAACGGAAGTGTGCCTCATCTGGCAGACAGGCCTCGCTGGCACCCCTGTGTCTTACTGCCTGCTGGATATGGTGCCAGGTGTGTGGACAGGGCAACACCACCAGCATCTCGTCGCGGCTTGTCGCGCAGTTGGCCTCTGCATGTCAGAAACACCGTCAGCTGAGCGGGCTGGTAAAGTGTGTGCTGTCCATGGGATGGACAGCCGCTGTGAGTTCACTGTGCAGCAGGTCTTGGCGGAATGGGCTGATTAGCACGGACCTGCGGTTGACATGCGGCGCCTGCTTGCAGCAACACGGCAGTCATCACAGCAAGCACAGCTGCAGCAGCAGCCCCCACAGGAGCTGCAGCGGCAGGAGCAGCAGCAGGGGCAGCAGCAGCAGCAGCAGCAGCAGCACCGCCGCAGCAGCACTGCTGCACAGCCAACACGCCAGCAGCACCGTCGACCATCTGAAGTACCATCACCCAGTCCTGCTGTAACAGATGCTGAGCAACACATTCCTGGGTACTTTGGAGCATCCTGGCGCAGTGGCGCCGGCCACAGCCTCGGCATCTCTGTGCAGCTTGCGGCTTGGAGTGCTGTCACAAGCGTGCTGCTGGCCAGTGCACTTGTGGTGTGCGCCGTGTGCAGTGTCACCAGCACCGATCTGCACGATGACCTCAAGTGATGGGCCACTGTGGAGCCTGTCAGTGCTGGCATTGCGCCATACTCATTCCATAACAGCTTGCATGCCGGCAGCACGACCACACCCGAAGGCCTGTGGCACCTGTGTCCACACTGTGCTCCATTGCATCCGGTGAACAGTGGCAATGAGCGAGCAGAGTATCTGGCCTTCCATCCACCAGACTATACCAAGGCCATCGTGTCCTTGGACGCCATCGACCAACTGCGGATAGGCCTAGTGGATGTTGGACTTGGTTTTTTTCCAGCAGCCTTTGGATTTGTTGCTGGCAAGCTTCAGCAGCAGCATTGCATGTGTAACACCAGGCAAAGAGTACTCAGTTGGGAGATGCCAGGGGAGCTGATCCCTCTCACATTCCTCCCCCCCTCGAGCGAACGTCCTCGGGCGCCCCCGGGCATATCCCGTAGGATTTATGTTGTTTGAGATCCCGTAGGATTGTGTATTTGTTATTGTGACATTTCGCCAGTCCCCGTCTGAGATGGAGGACTTTGTTTTTACTCAGCTGGTAGACTTCCCGCCCGCCCGGGCATCCACCTTTGGGGTAAGAGTATGCTGCATCATGCCTGGTGTGCGATATGTTCGCAGCCGGATTCGATCCGGGGAGTTCCCACCTCCTAGCAATTCGCACCAATGTAACACCAGGCAAAGAGTACTCAGTTGGGAGATGCCAGGGGAGCTGATCCCTCTCACAGCATGGAAGTGCTGGTCTTGGATTGGGCACACGACTCCACGTGCCGTGTCAACATGCTGCCCCCGGCACTGCAGGAGGTGCTGGGATGGAGCATGCAGCACAACCCGCTCGTCAGGGAGTTCCTCACCGTTGCTGAACAAGTCCCGCCCAATCACCCGTTGCCATACCTTTCTCCAGCTGATGTGCAATCGTTTGTTGCCAGTGAGCAAGCCTGCAAACCACTTGTGCTGGCCACCCTGGAAACAGCAGAGGCAGCTCACTCATTGATATCTGTGGTTGTGCCTGCCATCCAGCATGCAGCCATGAAGCATGCACCCGTGATGTACACCGCGGGAACATTGGTTCCGTGGGCGCCCACTCGGCCTGAGCTCAACCTGGCTGTTGCTGCAGACGGGACCCCACTGGACTATCAGTTTGGCCTGTCTGCGGAGATGGCCATGTTCCCCTATCTGTTTCCCTTTGGTGTTGGCGCATTTATGGGCGGCACGACCTTGGTCAAGTACTTAGCATACCGCACCAAGTGCCTTTTCAGTGTGTGGAAAGCCGTACTTGCTGCTCATGTATGTGCTTCACCAGAGTGCCCAGCTGCAAGAGCAAAATACAGAGGTGAGTGTGTGGTGGGTATGCTAAAGATGCTGCACATGATGCATGCTGGAATATTGGACAGGGATGCCCACCCAGCTGCTACAATTTGCAGGTTCCGAGCAACAACATGCATGTAGAACTTCATGACATGACCATCATGCCCGCCTGCATGTACAGGCCGTGCTGGAGAGTGTGCTCCTCGACTACAAGTCCCAGCACCCTAACGCGAGTGATGAGGACGCCATCCGTCACATTCTCAAGCACAAGCTGC